CGCCTCCGCCGGCGAACCCCCAGGGGGGGCCCGGCGCCCGAGCCGCAGCCCAACGGGGAGCTGGTCAGCCCCACGGGGGGGCCCATCTACTACATCTACGAGGAGGAAGAGGAGGAGGAGGAGGAGGAGCCGGAGCCGCCCCCGGAGCCCCAGAAGCCCGTCAACGACAAGCCCCACAAGTTCAAGGATCATTACTTCAAAAAGCCCAAGTTCTGCGACGTCTGCGCCCGCATGATCGTGTGGGGGGGGGCAGTGACGGGCCCCTGCTGCCTGGCTCGGGGGCTGAAGGGGCCCAGCAGAGGCCCCCTCCTCAGGAGACATGGGGGGTCCCCCCCCGCCTTTGCTGCTCCAAAGGCCCCGTACCAGCCCTGAACCCGGTCCCCATCCAGGCCCCACCCGCACCCCTGAGCTGTGACCCCTGGATGGGGGGGTCTCTAGCCGAGCAGGTTCCAGGGCTGGGACGTTTCATCGATTCTTCCTCCCCTCCCCCCCAGTCAACAACAAATTCGGCCTGCGGTGCAAGAACTGCAAAACCAACATCCACCAGCACTGCCAGTCCTACGTGGAGATGCAGCGCTGCTTCGGAAAGATCGTGAGTCAGCCCGGCCCCCTCGGGTGGGGAAACTGAGGCACGGGGCGGGGCAGCGACTCACCAAAGTCCCACAGGGTTAGAAGACAGAGCTGGGGTAGAACGCAGGCATCCTGGCCCCTGGCCCTGCTCTGACCACTAGGCCCCACTCCCTTCCCAGAGCCGGGGGAGAACACAGGAGTCCTGGGCCCTGGCCCTGCTCTGACCACTAGGCCCCACTCCCTTCCCAGAGCCGGGGGAGAACACAGGAGTCCTGGGCCCTGGCCCTGCTCTGACCACTAGGCCCCACTCCCTTCCCAGAGCCGGGGGAGAACACAGGAGTCCTGGGCCCTGGCCCTGCTCTGACCACTAGGCCCCACTCCCTTCCCAGAGCGGGGGGAGAGCACAGGAGTCCTGGGCCCTGGCCCTGCTCTGACCACTAGGCCCCACTCCCTTCCCAGAGTACGGGGAGAGAACAGGAGTCCTGGCACCCGGCCCTGCTCTGACCACTAGGCCCCACTCCCTTCCCAGAGCGGGGGGGAGAGCACAGAAGTCCTGGCGGTGCGGGCGTCTGTCCATCCTGCAGCGGTAACTCTCCCCCTTTCTCTCCCCCGGGCCCAGCCCCCCGGGTTCCGCCGGGCGTACAGCTCCCCCCTCTACAGCGACCAGCAATACGCCTGCGTCAAGGAGCTGCTCTGTAAGTACCCGCCC